TGAGTGAGTGAATGAGTGAGTGAATGAGTGACTGAGTAAGTGAATGAGTGAATAAGTGAGTAAATGAGTGAATGAGTGAGTGAATGAGCAAGTGAAACAGTGAGTGAATGACTGAGTGAATAAGTGAATGAATGAGTGAATGAGTGAGTGACTGAATAAGTGAGTGAAGGAGTGAGTGACTGAGTGAATGAGTGAATAAGTGAGTGAGTGACTGAGTGAGTGAGTGAGCGAATGAGTGAATGAGTGAGTGCTCCAGGTCAGAGTGAAGATCTCTCCCTGGTGGGGTCATGCGACTCAGACTCCCAGACATGGGATTTGGGGGAGGCAGGGAATGGGTTCAGCTCCTCAGAAGTGAGGCTGTGCCATCTGGACTCAGTCCCACAGATACAAACCAAGGGCCCAAACACAACCCCACTCAGGCCCTATGGTTCCAGGGTAGCAGACCATGGACCACTATCCTACCAGCAGCCCCTGCACCTGTGGGTGGGACCAGCATCAGCTCGGGAGTTGCCTGCCCCGCCTCATAGCGGGAAGCCTCACTGGACTTTACCATCAAGAACGAATCACGCCCAACAAAGGGTCCATCTGCCCAGGACACGCCTGCTACATTCTATCTGCGTCTCACCTCTGACCTGCCTTTATCCATCAGCATGACAGAGTGTAGGCTTGGGGGGTAGGAGGGTAGGACTAGACTCTCTCCAAAGTCTGCTCCTGACCCAGCCCACCATGTCACCCTTTCTCCCCACAAGGCCTCCTGCCCTACAGTCCCTCCTCCCCACCCTTGCCTGGGGCCTCCCTCCCATCACTAGTCAGTCTCTATGGCTAAGGTATGGAGGGTGGCTGCCGACCACCAGTCCCCAAAACCCTGGGGTGCCGGAGCTGAGGTCTGGCTAAGACAGGCCTGACCTGGGAGGGCAGGTGCAGGACAAGGACATCAGAGGAGCTGTCGGTCCAGAGGCTGGGCACACATGGGCAAGGAAGACACACAGATAAATGAAACCAGGTAGGAGCGGGGAAGCCGCGACTGAATGGGGATGCAGGAACACAGGCTGAGGACCATGGGAAACCCAGCCCACCCAGCTCCTGCCCCTAGGAAGCCCTTGGGAAACTGGCTATGCTGATTCCCACAGTGATCATAGGCAGAGCCAAAAAGGGCTTGGCAGGCAGGATAGAGTGTGAGCAGGATTTGGGCAGAGGGGCAGGTGTGGAGCGGTGAAAAGCAGCCATGGCCAGCCTGCAGGGCCTTGAACACTGCCCCCAGGTGCTGGCTCTCGTCTGTAGGGCACCATGGAAGTTTGGCGAAAGCGTACCTTGGCATACCCCAGCCAGCCCATCTCATGCTCCCTGGCCAACCCCAGGCCCCTCCTGGGACCCTGGTTTCCAGAGATCACTGCTGGCTGCAGGACTGTATGACCACTGCCCGATGACTGATGGCTTGGGAACAGTCTCATTTTCTCTGGCTCTGATGGGACTCTTTGGGGTGAACATTCCCCCTGGGGACATCTTCTCACATCTGGTTCTAAGGCTGAGAGACACTGGGCCTGTGCAGAGGGGGATACCTGCCCTACCCAGCCATTGCCCCCAAGAGCATAGGGGCGCAAGGCCAGGCCAGAAGTGGAGGCCACCCAGTCACCCCTGGGGGCACTTGCAGAGGTCCGAGCAGAGAACCAGACATCACCCCTTGCACCCTTGGTGTGCACTGCCTGCAAGCGTCAATGAATGAATGAGGGAGGGAGGGAGTGTGGGAATAAACAAATGAGTGAAAGAATAAGAGTGAGTGAATGACTGTGTGAGTGAATGAGTGAGAGAATGAGCAGCAATGAGTAAATGAGTGAATGAGTGATGAGTAAATGAGTGAGTGAATGAGTGAGTAAATGAGTGAGTGAATGCGTGAGTGAATAAGTGAGTAAATGAGTGCATGAGTGAATGAGTGACTGAATGAATGAGTGAATGAGTGACAGAATGAGTGAATGAATGAATGAGAAAATGAGTGTGTGAATGAGTGAATGAATAAGAGAATGAGTGAGTGATGAGTAAATGAGTGAGTTAAGTGAATAGGTGAGTGACTGACTGAATGAATGAATGAGTAAATGAGTAAGTGAATGAGTGAGTGAATGAGTGAATGAATGAATGAGTGAATGAGTAAATGAGTGAGGGAATGAGTGAGGGAGTGAGTGAGAGAGTGAGTGAATGAGTGGGTTAATGAGTGAATGAGTGAGTGAATAAGTAAGTGAATGAGTGAGGGAGTGAGTGAATGCGTGAGTGAATGGGTGAGTGAATGAGTGAGTGAGGGAGTGAGAGAATGGGTGAGTGAGTGAATGGGTGAGTTAATGAGAAAATGAGTGAGTGAATGGGTGAGTGAATGAGTGAGTGAGTGAATGAGTGAGTGAGTGAATGAGTGAGTGAATGAGTGAGTGAATGAGTGAGTGGGTGAGTAAATGAATGAGTGAATGGATGAGTGAATGAGTGAGGGAATGAGTGAGTGAGTGAATGGGTGAATGAGTGAGTGAGTGGTTGAGTGAGTGGTTGAATGAGTGGTTGAGTGAGTGAATGAGTGAATGAATGAGTGGTTGAGTAAGTGAGTGAATGGGTGAGTGAATGAGTGAGTGAATGAGTGAGTGAATGGGTGAGTGAATGGGTGAGTGAATGAGTGAGTGAATGGGTGAGTGAATGTGAGTGAATGGGTGAGTGAATGAGTAAGTGAATGAGTGAGTGAGTGAATGGGTGAGTGAATGAGTGAGTGAATGGGTGAGTGAATGGGTGAGTGAATGAGTGAGTGAATGGGTGAGTGAATGAGTGAGTGAATGGGTGAGTGACTGAGTGAGTGAGTGAATGGGTGGTGAGTGAGTGATTGAATGGGTGAATGAATGAGTGAGGGAGTGAGGGAGGGAGTGAGTGCATGAATGAATGGGTGAGTCAGTGAGTGAATGGGTGAGTGAGTGAATGGGTGAGTGAATGAGCGAGTGAGGGAGTGAGTGAATGGGTGAGTGAGGGAGTGAGTTAGTGAATGATAAACCAGTGAAGGCGTGAATGGGTGGGAGAATGAACAAATGCAGGACAAATGCGCCAGTAGCCCAGGTGTTGCTGTCACCGCCCCTGGTCCGCAGGGTGCTCAGCTTGCTCTCCCCATTCCCGCTGGGTCACAGCATTCCCTGCACCCGGCTCCCTGGGGCTCCCCTGGGTCTCTGCACCAGGCCTGTGCCTCCAGTTCCCCTCCCTGCCCCGCAGCTGGAAATCTCCACCTCATCTGTGGGGTCCTTTTGGGAAACCACCGCCTCAGGGAAGCCCTCCTGAAGTCCCAGACTAGGCTGGGGGTTCCCCCTGCGACACATGCACGTGTGCACATGCACGCACACGCACACACAGGCATCCATGCACACACGTGCACTCACAGCCCTCCTGCAGCCCTGGCGATCTTCTCCTTGCCAGTTTCAGGCTCCATCTCCCACCCTAGGCTGAGGACCCCGAGCGCAGGGACCAGTACCATTGCATTTCCAGTGATGGCCCCAGGACAGGGAGGGGCCGGAGGGGCCGGGTGAGGCAGGGTTGATATCTGAGTGCCAACCGCGGGCCCAGCTATGTGCCCGGCCCGGTGGACTCAGAAAGGAGAACAAACGACATGTGAATGCCACTATCGGGGCCTGGCACCTGGCACTTGCCCACCCAGGGCCCGTCCCTCTCTCCCTGCCCCTTCCCCCAAACACCAAGGGAAAGTGCCCGGAGGGAGGTGGAGGGCAGGCCTGGCTCTCCACGGGAGGCCTGGGGAGTGACTCTGGGCCATCAAGGGACCAGGTGGAGGGCAGGCCCCGCCTCCGGTGGAGTGGGCAGTGCCCCCTAGTGAGGGGCAGTGCCGGCAGCTAAGCTCCAGGATCCGCAGCTGGGGGCTGGAAGCTGGAGACTGGGGCCCACTCAGATCACAACCCCTCCCTCAGCCTCCGTTTTTTCATCCACAGCGTGGGAAGGGACCAAGTCCACGCCCTCCCCCTGCAAGTCGTCCCAAGGTTAGGGTGGGTGGGGAGGGTCCCAGCATCATCACGGGTCTCATCGCCGGCTGCTCTACGAACAGTAGGAGAAACCGAGGCCCAGAAAAGGGAGGGCCTCACCTAAGGGCCCAGGTGACGGTGGGACCAGAACTCCTTCCCCATCCGGAGGAGCCCAGCGCGAGAGAAGCAAGCAGGGCCCCCGGGAAGCAGGACCCCCGGAAGCAGGACGGCGGGCACCATGTGCGCTGCAGCACTGCCCTCTGCCGGCGCTTTCCGGAAACGCACCCCCTGCGGTGGAACGCACTGGGGACCCCTCCAGGTGCAGGGCGCAGCTCAGAGCAACAGCGGCACTGAGCCAGGGCCCCCACCCCAGGAGCTCCCAGATAGGGACATGTGAAAGGCAGTGCAGCCAGCCTTGGGGAGACCAGGGGAGCGACGGCTCCTGAGGTCGCAGACTTCCAGGAGGAGGGGGCTTCTCTGCAGAGCTGGGCCTAGAGCGGGTGGTGCTGACGTGCTCTGAGCGGAGTTTCCTAGGAGCTTTGTCCTCACTGAGCTCAGGACTGGAGGGGCACCAGCTCCAAGGGGACCGCGCACACCGTCTCCCTCCCCTGCACACACCCTGCAGCCCTCTCACCTTCTCATCAGGCGTGGGAGAAAACATCTTCTCCTCCTGGGGATGCTTGGAGAAGTCGAAGGGGTAGGACACCACCAGGTCGCCCCCATGAAGGCTGGCCGAGAGCACGAAGGGTATGGTCTGCATCCACTTCATGATTGCCTTCGTCTCTGGGGCCACCTGCCCAGGACAGACGAGGCCGCCCTCAGGTCTGGGTTTACCTGCCGGCCCCTAGCCATGCCCCGGGCTTCTGCAGCCCTCTGGGCTCCAATGGTGCAGACCATTAACGACCGGTCTCTACACCGATGCTCCAGCTGGACTTGGCCCCCATCACTGGGCCCCTGCGGGGATCTCGGCATTTCCAACATGAATCTCTGCAATCTCACCAACACCCCAGCAAGGAGGTGTTCCCATTTCACAGACAGGTAACTGAGGCAGGGAGGGAGCACCAGGCTCTCCTTTCCCCGGGGAAGGACAACTCCGGAGAGCCTGGAATAACCAGGGACCCTTGGATGCCTTTGGTGGCGACAGGCGTGGGCAGCGGCGGCTCCTACCTTACCCCACCAGTAGTGCTGGGGGATGGGGATGTGGTCGCTGCGCGCGCCGCGGGTCTCCGCCAGCTGGTAGTACTCCGAGGTCAGGTCCGGGAAATTTCGGTTCAGATCCAGGTTCTGCGCATTCTGCCTTCCGCTGGTCCACCCATTGTAGCCGGCACCCTGAAAACACGGCCAACCCCCGACTGGGTGGGGTCAGCACACCCCACCCTCCTCCTTCCAGATGGGTCTCACATTGGGCTGAGGGTCAAGGCCAGGGGCTTCGTTTTTCGCGGCTTTATGTGATGAGCTCGGGGGTGTGCCTGACCCTTGACCTCCTCTCCACCCTGGGGCTCCCTCCCTGGGGTTCCTTGCTGATGCCATAGTCTTGGGGCCCTTCCTGGCTGCTCCCCCTGAGTGGGACACCCCCGACAGTGACCTGCTCTGCTTGTTACCCACCTCCCCGAGAGCTCCCCTGGCCACCGCTGACACACACAGGCACCATCCACTCCCTATCCACCATTTTCCTCTATCACACGCATCACCTTTTTAATACACCTAGAATTCTCAGTGGCTTCCCTCTCCCCAGCCCCTGAAGCAGGGGTTTTCCAGTGTCCACATCTACTGAATGCTCCTCTCCTAGAGAGGTGGGAGCTAAGCACTGCTAAGATAAACTACTTGTACATGAATGAACGAGGGGGTGGTTCGGGCGGTGGCCCACAGGATCCAGGCATCTGGGCGCTCACCTCGGCGGCTGCCACCTCGTAGCCGTCGGGGTTCATGGAGGGCAGCAGGTGGATTCGGGTGGTGTTGAGCAGGCGCTGGATGCGGGGGTTGCCCAGCAGGTACTCAGAGCACAGGTACTGGGCTAGGTAGATGAGCATCTCCCGGCCCGCCACCTCGTTGCCGTGAATGTTGCCAATGAGCTTCACCTCGGGCTCCACTGGGGACAAATACAGAGACTTGGGGCATCATCTCAAAGCTGGGGGTCCCCAAAGGCATGAGGCCCCCCACTCAGCAAGGATGACCAGATGGGCTGGGACCAATTCACACTTGTTTTGACTCAGGAATCTCTGTATATAATGAGGTCTCATCAAGGTCATCACTTTTGTTAAGCTCGTTTTTTACACCTAGCCATAATTATTAGTTAGCATAACTAAAGAATATGAATAATATATGTTATCATTGATCCATGCAAATTTCATTGATGGTCTCTCTTCATGTTTGTGTAATAAATCAAGGTATACATTGGTGCTTAGCTGGAAAGGTGGTTGGCCCTTGAGTGGATGAATGGATGGGTGAATGGATGGATGGGTGATGGATGGATGGATGGATGGATGGATGAATGGATGAATCAATGATGGATGGATGGATGGATGAATAGATGATGGATGGATGGGTGGATGGACAGATATATCAATGATGGATGAAGGGATAGATGGATAGATCAATGATAGATGAATGGATAGATGGATAGATCAACGATGGATGGATGGATGAGTAATGGCTGGATGAAATAATGGCTAAGTTGATGCACAAATGAATAGATGAATGGATGGATGTGAAATGGCTGAATAAATAAATGGATGGATGGATGATGAGTGGATAGATGCATGGATGTATGAATGAATGGGTGGATGATGGATGGGTGTGTAATAGCTGAATGAATAAATGGATGGATGGATGAATGGACAGATGCATAAATGGATGGATGAATGGATGAATAGATGATGGATGGATGGCTGGATGGATAGATATATCGATGATGGATGAATGGATAGATGGATAAATCAGTGATAGATGGATGAGTGAATAATGGCTGGATGAAATAATGGATAAATTGATGCATGAATGAATAGATGAATGGATGGATGTGAAATGGCTGAATAAATACATGGATGGATGGATGGATGATGAGTGGATGGATGCATGGATGTATAAGTGAATGGGTGGATGATGGATGGATGTGTAATGGCTGAATGAATAAATGGATGGATGGGTGGATGGATTCATGGATGGATGGATGGATGGATGGATGGATGGATGGATGGATGGATGAATGGACTATAGGAAGAAGAGTGGACCAGGTCCCATGGCCTTACTAGTTGTGTGACTACAGGCAAGTCACTTCTCCTCTCTAAGCCTCACATTGCTCCCCTGGAAAATGACGTCTCCCTCCCCAGCTGTGTGTGGCCCAGGGATGTCCAGGGATGAGAGGAAACACCCACATTCCTCAGATGCCACATGTCGGGGTGTAAATGACCTGGGAGCTTTCTGCGTTGGTCACCTCCCTTGGCCTTCTGCACAGGGGCACCTCTTGCCCTCAAATTCCTGTGCTGTAGGGAGAGCCTCTGCCTCCTGCCCAGAGCATGTTACAGTTGGAGGGGGAATGTAGTGAGCCTTGGGGGCCAGGCTGTGGCCAGGTGGCCACTGGTCCCTGGTAAGAGATAGAGCCCTTGGGTTCATGGTGTCCGTGCTGCCCAGGCCAGTAAGATGAAGACTGGCTGAGGCTGCCAGCCCTGAAAAGGCCCCTGAGTCCACAAACAAAGAGCAGGTGCATTTTTCAGTAACTGCTGGGGACGAAGGGTCAAATGGAGGCTGCTTCTAAAATAATCGATTCTGTTTGAGTAATGTGCTCGTGAGACAGGTGTGGCTGGGGGCTGAGGCCCAGGCAGGACTCAGACTCACTGACCCCTAGGAAGCCCTGGACTCCAACCCTGAATGTCCTCAGTGCCCGGGAGAGGGGGACCTCCACACGCGAGAAACAGAGGCCACCCATCCAGAAGGTCTGCGTGTTTGCTAGAACATCCTAGATTCTTAGACACCACCAGCCTGAGTGACTCTTTGCAACTTAGGGTAGCAAATCACGACAGTAATAAAAGTTGATTTCCTAATTTGCCCTGCAGGAAGACCCCGCTGAAGGAACAGAAATGCCTAGCATTTTCCATACTGCCCGCTCCCGCTTCAGAACAGGATCCAAAGCCTGATGGAATGAAAATGGACTTGGATTTTTAAAATAGAAAAATCTCTTTATTCGTAGCATTCTGTGGTGTCACACTCCTGGAGTGGTTTGGAAAAGGAGAGGCCGGTGCCCAGGGACAAGGGTTGTACAGACCTGCCTGGGGTCCAGTGTGCCAGGACAAGGTCTTCAAATGGCAAAAATGCAGCGCATGGCCACAGACGCCTAAGTGCAGAAGGGCCCGGCACTCCTATAGCCTTTGTTTTGCTCCTCCCTGACTTAGGCCTGTGACATGCCAGAATGGTGCCCTCCTCCCTCCAGCTTCCCAGGCGACTCCTAGACAACCTTACTATCTCCCTGCAAGCCCACATCCCAACATCATCTTTTCTGTCTAAAATTTATTGTTTGGCCAGGCACAGTGGCTCACGTCTGTAATCCCAGCACTTTGGGAGGCCTAGGTGGGTGGATCACTTGAGGTCAGGAGTTCAAGACCAGCCTGGCCAACATGGTGAAATCCCATCTCTACTAAAAATACAAAAATTGGCCTGGTGTGGTGGCCCGTACCTGGAGTCCCAGCTACTCAGGAGGCTGAGGCAGGAGAATTACTTGAACCCAGGAGGCAGAGGTTGCAGTGAGCCGAGATCGCGCCACTGCACTCCAGCCTGGGCAACGAGAGTGAAACTCTGTCTCTAAAAAATAAAATAAAATTTCTTGTTTGTTTTATGTCTTTTCAGCCACTGGATCAATGTCTCCATTATTATCAAATAACCTAGTCTGCCACCCTAAATTTTGAAGTAAGGTGGATATCTGGAGAAATTCTCCTTTATACATACAGTGGTTGCACATGCCCAGTGGGACGTGGCCTGCACCAAGCAGCTCCCTGAGGCCCCCAGCTGTGCCCAGACCCCAAACACCCAGCCAACTTGTGCGCCCCAAAGTGGAGCAGCCCGAGCCCTTTCCCGAAGCGGGGCCAGGCCAGGCCCTCCCAAGGGCACTCACTCAGCTCGTGCTGGCCGGGGCGGCTAGAGAACTCGATGACCAGCAGCTCCCTGCCGTCGAAGCTGCGCCCGATGCTGTAGGTCCTGGCCACGTGGGCGCAGCGGGAGGCCGTCCGCCTCAGCACACGTACCATCTGGGCGTAGGAGTGGTGGCTGAAGCGGATGAAGGTGGGCGGCAGCCCCGAGGGCAGCGCCTCGTCAGCCTCCAGGCCTCCTGGGGGAGCAGTGGGGGGGCTCGGTCAGTGTCAGGCCCCGAGGCTTCCTACCGCTGCCTGGGAACACTGACCACGCACGGCACCCTTAGCCCCCTCTGCATGACAGCCATGCTTGGACACCCCTATCTTTAATTCGAGTTCCCTCTGCAGTGCCTACAGCGATATCCAAGCCAAATGGCACCCGAGGTATGTACACAGCACAGCGCCATGGTTCCTGACCGAATAATGTGACTGAATACACGTACTGTGGGGCCACTGTGGGAAGTTCCTAAAATACAGAGCAGGACAACAGAAAGGAAAAGAGATCTATGGGGTCCTGGACCCCCCAGGGCAAACCCCTGCTAGGTGTGCAGAGGGGCTTCTCCTGGGTGTGTTTTCCAGGACAGTGGCACTCGGGCAGTATTCTGCTCCGTTTGCTTGGCCAATGGTGGAAACAGGAAGCCTCCTTGTGGTGCCCCCTCCGGCTGCTGTAAGGTGCCCCCTCCGGCTGCTGTAAGGCTTCCCAGTGTTTCTGTTACAGCCTCACCAGCACAGCAGTGAGCACCAGCCCGGGAAGGAAACAGAAGGGAGGTTCTGGGAAGGACTTCGGGGGGAAGAGGAAGGGGTTCTGGATCCAGAATACGAATGTCTCTATGTCACATATGCACGAGCTTCCCCACCATCCTGTCATCCACTAGAATAGAGGCACCCCGAAGACCACCCCAGTGACCCTCACCTCCCTGCATCCCGCCAGGGGCTTTGCAGCAGCCAGGCCCACAGGAGCAGGACGCAGGTGCCGCAGGCTGTTCCTGGGTCCACAAAGAGTTAATGTGTTTCTCTAAGTTTCTCCTCACCCTGTGGTTTTGCTTCTGCTCAAAACGGTTCTCCAGGGGAGAGACTAGCAGAGGAAGCCGGCAATTTGGCGGCAGAGATGCCCAAAATAATCCCAAACTGACTCCTTGGGCTTTCCCAGGGCTGTGGGCTTGGCTTCCTTCCTTGCCTCCCTGGCCTCCCACAGGCACCTCCACCGCCTCTGCAGGGACTGAGCTCTGCAGACAGACGGCTCCCACCTGCTGGCAAAGGGCACCCTGCCACCGCATCTGCATGGAAGCCCAGGGTGGACAGAGTCCGCCCTTCTCAGACTGGGAACCAGAGGATGCAAGACGTGCCAGGATCAGCCCTGAGTGCCTGACACAGCCCACAACCCAGGGCTTGCTGGAGCCTGGCCCAGGTGTGTGTCTGCTTTCCTTCTCCTGCCCTCCTCAACATCCCAGCACAGAGCCATATGTACGGTGGGTGCTCGGTAGCTGTTTGGTGAATGGCCAAATCCATCCCTCCATCTGCGATGGGCTTGGGCCACTCCAGCTAAAGACCCCACCGCTGTCACCCTTCCCGGGGCTCTGCTTCCTCTTCCACGGAGCAAGGCTGCCGTGAGACTCGCATGAGTCAGCACATGTGTGGCACCCGCAGTCAGATCCTGTGAATCCAACCACGAGCGGACGCTGCCCTGCGCAGCTGAAAGTGGCACACACTGGCCCTGGGCTCTTCAAAGGCATGTTCAGACTCATTCAAATGCGATGAGATGCCCATGTCCAGGCCTCAGTGGCAGGAGCCACATCCCAAGCCTTGGGGACCACATGCGGCCAGTGGTGACCGTCTTGGACAGCACAGAATAGAATATTTCTTTCACACAGGAAGGTCTAACGGGCCAAGGCTGCTGCGGACCATGCAAGGTCTCTGGTGGACACTGACTCGTGAGACAACAGACATAGAGGGCTCCATGCAGGGCCCCCACCAGCCCCACCACCAAGTGGCCCTCTGGGACAGCCTTGCACACCTCAGAGACAAGTGGCCCATGGTGGCCGAGGCTTGCCCACTCCCCCTCCACTGTTTTATCTACAAGAGACACCAAAGCCTTTCTCCACAGCTCCTCTCCGTCCTTGAGCCCACAGGGCGGCACAGACCTGCTGGAGGAGTCACTCCAGGCCAAACCCTCTGTGTGATCTTCCAGGCCCAGCGATGGGCAATCGTGAAGCTTTGCCCACCAGGTCTCCCAGGGGAAGTAAATGTCCTGCCCACCCTCGACCAGGGGTAAGTACTGCTGTTCTGGAGGGTCTGTGGCCAAGAACTGGACCCCCGGGGCCAGCCCTGCACTCTGAGCCCAGGCTCCCTGACATGAGGCCTCCTGATTGCACCCTGGGCAGGGGCACTGCCACCACTTGGACTCAGCACCCTTCCACCCCAGCCTGCCCCTAAGGGCTGGAGGCTTCTGCTGGGGGGCCCTAGGTGACGGAGGATCCTCCATCTGCACTGAGTCCCCAACCCTGCCTGGCACCCCTTTGTGGGGAACGTGCTGCCCTGGGGAGCAGCCCCGCCCTCTACCAATGCCTGCACTGTCGCCATCGATGGAAAAGACTTCAAGTTCCTTCCAGTGTGGCTCTTGGTCCTCCATGACCACCTGGACCGTGTGAACACATGGATAGCCGCCGCCTTCCCTTACCCCGAAGCTTCTCCAGTGGGTCGTAGCAGCCCTCATCCTCACTCGTGAAGTAGCGGTGGCAGTCGAGAAAGTAGGGCCAGGCCATGTCGATGGCGTCGAAGGCGGGCTGGCAAGCCTCCCGCAGGCCCTCGCAGATGTGCCGGCAGGGTCTGCGCACCCGGCCGCCCTCACACCGGGGGGCCAGCACAGCACAGCCCAGCAGCCGCAGGTCTGGGTTGCACTGGCCCTCCAGGAGCTGGTGTAGAACACTCAGCAGGATGTACTCGGAGCTGGCCTCCACCACCTCCCACGACCGGTGCTGTAGCAGGGTGGGGAAGGTGGTGTGGTTGTAGGCGGCATCGCTGCAGGTCCTGAGCTGCAGGTCCACGCAGGTGACTGGGGAGGCAGGGTCGGCATGTCAGTCCCTCCTGCAATGGCCCTGACCGTCACGTGTCAGACATTTACGAAGGGGACCCCACGCAGGGCCAGGGCCTGCAGGGAAGGGGCACCCACAGTCTGGTAGGGGAGGACCAGGACAATAGTTACTGTGCAGGAATCAGAGACTGTGAGAGATCAGAGAAGGCGCCTAAGACCAACCAGATTCAACTACCCACTAGCAAGCGAGCTGCAGCAGAGGCTGCCCTGAGCCTCAGCATCTCCATCTGCAAAGCAGCTGTGCCACACAAGGGCCCGTGAAGGCAGCCAGCCGATGCTGCATTAGGCAGGGACGGGCACAAACCACCCGGGAGGCACAGCCACAGCACAAAGACGTCCCAAAAGACGCACCCTGCTTTAGGCGTCTTGTGTCTTTGGGGACCCTAATGGGTCAGGTGGGCCTCAGGACTTGGATGAGAAGCGGATAATGACAGACGCGGCTCAGTCGGGCTCATCTCTGCTCTGCAGCTCGCAGGGATGCCTTAAGCCCAGGCAAGGGGTAGGGTCCTCACTGTCGCTGGACACCTTCCTGCTTCCTCATCACAGCTGTTTGTTTAGTTCCAAATGCCCCATCTCTAAGGCCCTCATTGACCTAGCACGGCCCTCCAGCCCCCTCGGGAGCAGACTGTGTCCCTGCAGCCACTGGCTCCAGGCTTGCACCCCCAGACGGCCTCCTCCTCTTTTCCTCAGCTGGACTTTCCAGATGTGGCATTGCATGGGACAAGTCGTGACATTTTGCCACTTCTCATGTCAAAGTCTAGAAAGGACAGGATTCTTTCTGCCTCACATCGCCCTGCTCACCACATTTTACAGCCGGGCAAGGTAGCTCACACCTGTAATCCTAGCACTTTGGGAGGCCAAGATGGGAGGATCGCTTGAAGCCAGGAGTTTGAGACCAGCCTGGGTAACACAGCAAGACCTCCATCTCTAAAAATAAAAACAAATAAAATAAATAAAATATAAAATAGACATGTTACACAGGTCATTGACTTTGTACCCAGAATTTTTTTTTTCTGATTTTTTAAAAGTCTCCACTTAGAATACACCAGATGCCCAAATCTGTCAGGAGGTGACGATGAAATGTTCACCCCTTTCAGGGAACGAGCCCGGTCCTCAGCCCTGACCTGAGCACTCCACATTAGTTGGATCCCATGCCACTTTTGAAGCCATCTCACAAGATTCGTTTGGCATTTCTCCTATCACAAGGAGGAAATCGGGGGAGGTGACTCACCGAACCCCAGACTCAGCAGGGGCCTGGCACAGAGCCAGAGACCATGAAATGCATGTGGGCAAGATCCAAACTCAGGACGTGTGACTGCAGCGGGGACTGGAGTGGGGACGGGGGCAGGCAGGCATGGGGAGGGATGGAGAGGACGTCTCTGCAGGGGCTGTGGTGGGCAAAGCCCAGTGGGAAGCCGGTGCACCTTTTCCTGGCTGGTCTTTTTTTGTTGTGTCTAATTTTTCTCTGGCTGTTTACGAGGGGGTTCTGGTTTGATTGATGGGCTGTGTTATCCATTACCCACTTCTGAAATCACAGGCTCAGCTGCCTAAAGTGCTCTGACAGTGTGGGGGCCGCAGCCCTCCTACAGAACAGAGGCCAGGGAGGTCCCGGTACTGTACCGCTGTCTGCAGCCGGCGGCCTGTGGCATTCACCTGGAAAGAGAGACATGGCACTGTTAGGGACCTGCCTCGCCGTCCGTCACTCACCGGGCAACACACGCCCAGGGCCCTGAGTGCAGGCGGGGACCAGCCTGGGCCACCGTCCGCCAGCTCCTTCTCATGGAGTCTTCACAGCAGTCCCTGAGGCAGACGCTGCAGTCTCCCCCATTTCCCAGGTGCGAAGGCTGCGTCTGAGAGGTCACATGACCTGCCTAAGGACAGACGGTTGGACAGCAGTGGGGGTCAGTGGCATCCATCTGGCTCGAAGCCCAGGCCACAGTGCCTGCAAGCCTGATGTCCAGGACAGAAGAGCCCTGAGGTGGCATCTGTGAGTGCCGTGGCACAAGCACCTCCACCGTAGCCAACCTCAAGCTTCCCACCATAAGCCGCTGAGTCCTCAGAAGATTCCAGAAGTTTTAATAGTTAGCCTCCGGACCCCTCACCAGCAGGTACTGCCGCACTCAGACCCAGGCCCCTCCCAGAGTCAGCCATGCAGGCTCCGTGCCCCCAAGAACACCGCCAGGCTGTGGCCTCTCCCCGTTTCCTGCGTCAAGGGCCCTCTTCCAAGAAAAAAGGACCAACATACAAAACTATCCTGGCAGTCGTGGGGTTTCAAGGGCCCTTTCCGAAGCCCAGACACATGAACCCAACAGTAAGGCCTCTGGGAAGGCCAAACATAGCCAACCCTAAGTAATGCCGGCTGCTAAGGGCCCTGTATGAAGCAGGACCCAAGGCTCTGTGCACTTCAAGCGGGGAGAACGCATTCGAGGAGGGGAATCCGGCATCAGATTTAAAACCTGGCTAGTGCTGGGACGGGTCCATGTCGGAGACCACCTGGCCAGAGTGGGGGCAGGCTGGGCGGTGGGAGCAGCAGGACCCTGGAGAAGGGGACGTGACTCACAGGCAGGACATGTGGAGTGGGTGCAGGGGGCCAAGGAGAGGGGGGCAAGCAGGCTGGAGCAGAGGAAAAGGCCTGGCTGTGACTCTGCACCTCCAGTCAAAACTGGGGACAGAACCTGGAGGCTGGGAGGGTGCAGGCCGCTTTTTGGAGCTCACCCTAGGATCTGGGGGCTGTGAAAGCTTGGCTGAGCACATGGCAACTCTCCAAATGGTCAGAGAGACCTGGGCTGCTCTGTGGCCAGGCAGCTCCCACGCTAGGGAACCACTTGGGACTCGGTTTCCCCACTGAGGACTGGGCAACCATAGTCCCGGATCCCTACACCATTCAGCTCACAAAGCTCTTGTGGGATGGTGACGTTTAGGGCACCCGTCCGCCACCAGGCACTCCTAGGGGAGTTTCCGTGTCCATCCTCACAACAGACGACAAGAGAGGTCCACGCGGTGCTCTCCGGGTGTGGAACAGGCGTGTGCGGGCGGCCCTGGGGAAGACGCAGCTGCCTCGGGGTATGAAACAGGCATGTGCAGGAGGCCCTGGGGAAGATGCCGCTGTCCTTGGGTTCGCCCTTCCTCCCTGTCCAAGCTGGCAGGGAACATGGACCATGAACCACAAGGGTTGTGGAGGACAGGGAATATGCCCAGTCCCCCACCACCACGTCACAGCAGGGGGCCCCAGGCAAGTGGCTCTTTTGTGTCTCAAGGTCCCCCATTTCACATGGGTTCATTATAATCACTTTGCAGGGATTCTGTGAGATGAGATGACCCATGGTCCAAGCCCAGCACAAGATCTGCCGGGGGGAACAGTCTCCATCAGCCACAGTGTGCATCATTCCTGCAACGGTTTCAGGACAACCCGGAGACGAGCTGCAGGAGCCCGTGCTGTGCTAAGTGTGGGAGAGCAACAGGCAAGGGCACTGGTTTCCTAAAGCATCTGGGACTGGAGCGGCCCTAACTGGAAAGAGGGGGCTGCAGTGTGACCACCCGCCCGTGCCCACCCATCCATGCCCACGGATGCCCACAATGTGCACTGGGATGAGCACAGAGGAGCTTGAGTCCCCCTGGACGGCTGTCACGGGCCTGTGGGCGTGAGGCTCTCCGGGCACCCTCCCTGGCACCCTCACGTGACTCCCAGGCCTTCATGGTCCAGAGCATCCCCAGACTCCACCAATCTGCAGCATAAAGGAGGCATGACAGCTTGAACTTTAGGAAAAAAGGAACGAAAAAAAAGCTGGTCCAGGATTCCGCTTGGAACACTGTGCTCTCACCCGCCTGTCTGTGTGGTTAAAGACAACTGGGTGATATTGGGAAGAACAGGTGAAAGGCTTGCATCCACACAGGGCCCCATGTGAGCACCCATCCCGTGCAGGGCCCTGAGTGAGCACTGGTATGCAAAGCTGGCCGCCGACGGGGCCACTCTGGCAGCAGGGTTTGCACTCAGCTGACCCACGGTCTCATCCTGCACTGAGCTTGAACCGAGGCAGATGCTGCAGCACAGTGAGCTCAAGGATCAAGGTGATCTCAGCCCAGTGCCCTTGTCCCCACTCCCTGGGTACCCATCACAGGACTCTGATGGTGCCCGGCTGGCACTGAGCTTGGCCTGGCCCTGAGCTGGTGAGCTTGGGTGAACCTGGAACTTTGTCTATTCACTCAGCAGGCATGAGCGAGTGGAAGAACTAACTTTGACTTGACCCTGGGGCTTCTGCTGGCCTCAGGGAGCTGCAAGGTGAGGTGTCCATCCCTGCACCTGCTCCTCTAAAGCCACCAAGAGCCCACACGAGTGACTGGACCATCACACAGGGACTGGACAGGCGATCCCTCTGGCTTCCTGTGGCTTCGAGTCTCCCTGATTCACAGATGACGGCACTAAGGCTCCAGGATGAACCACTGCCCGTGCCTCAGTTTCCTCGTGTGTAAATTGGGATAATGATCACGCCTACCTCATAGGGCTGTTGGAGGATCCATCAAGATTATTACGACAGCAGGGTGAGGTGCCCACTGAATGCTCAACACACAGAGGCTCGGGGCGCACGGTGGGCAGGAGCAGGACTGTTTGCTGTGACCCCCCAACCAGCCATGCAGCCCCATTGGGGTTTCCCAAGGGGCAGGAAGAGCATCTACCAGCTGGGTTGCCCCGGCTTCCACTGCCCGCCATGTGTAAGGCACAGAGAGGGGTGGGTTTGTTTGCCAGGGCTGCCCTAGCAAAGTGCCCACCATGCTTGAGTTAAAGCAACAACAGCTGGGTGTGGTTGCTCACACCCGTAATCCCAGCACTTTGGGAGGCTGAGGCAGGCGGATCACGAGGTCAGGAGTTCAAGACCAGCCTGGCCAACACAGCAACCCTGTCTCTACTAAAAATACAAAAATTAGTTGGGCATAGTGGCGCACACCTGTAGTCCCAGCTACTCAGGAGGCTGAGGCAGGCTAAGTGAGATGAGCTCCATCTCACTTGGACCTGGGAGAGGGAGGTTGCAGTGAGCAGAGATTGCACTACTGCACTCCAGCCTGGGTGACAGACTCTGTCTCAAAAAAAAGAAGAAGCAACAACAGTTCAGAGTGCTGGAGGCTGGAAGTCTGCAGTCAGGGGTCTGCAGGGCCGCACTCCCTCTGAAGGCTCTAAGAGAAGAAACCTCCCGCCCCTCCTGGCTCCTTGTGGCCCCAGGTGCTCCTTGGTTCGTGGCCACAGCACTCCCGTCCCTGCCTCTGTTGTCATGTGTGAAATTTGTCCCTGTTTCTGTCTCTGCCCAAATTCTCCCTCTTCTTCTAGGGATACCAGTTATTGGCTTAGGGCCTGCCCTAATCCCTCGTGGCCTCATCTGAATCAGATTTCATCCACAAAGGCCCTGTTTCCAAGTAAGCTCCCATTCACAGGTGCCAGGGATTACATCATCAGTATGTCTTTTCTGGAAGATACAATTCTTCCCCCAACAATCACCAAGCCCCAGTGGGTGCTGCTGTGGCCACAAGAGAGTCAGGATGGTCTGGGAGGAGCCCTCAGGGGCTGCAACTGTCCCAAGACCACACAGCCAGTCCCATGATGTGGCTGGGCCTTTGCCAGCTGGCTTGGCCTCCATAGACCTCTAGTTTTGCCACTTATTGCATGGGGGCAGGCCTGCTGACCCAAAGCCCACTCTCTGCCCTCCTAGGCCCCGCCTGCCCTGGCAGCCACAGAGCAAAGCCAGCGAGACTGTGGGTGGTTAGACTATTCACCAATGCTTCCCCACCCCAACCACTGTGGGGCACCGACACCCCTGGATCCCCCTGCAGACTTGCAAATGCACAGCGGGGTGAAAGCCTGTGCCCCTAGAAGGCTCTCAAGCCACGCTCTCCAGTACAGCAGCCACAAGCCACACGTGGCCACTGAGCCCTTCACATGTGGCAAGTTCAAACCAATGTGTGCGATGTGTAAAATGCACACCAAATTTCAGACGTAGTACTAAAAACAGTGTAAATGTTTCATTAATTTTTACATGAATGCCAATATACTGGAATTTTTTGGACATATTGGATCAAATAGAATTTGTTACTAAAATCAATTTCACCTGTTTCTGTTACCTCTTTAGTGTGGCTACTGGAAAATATAAAATTCTGTGAATGGCTTTGTGTTTCTGTTGGACGGCGCTGGTCTGAAAGCTGCTTTTGAAATGGTTCTAAGCCTTTTAACCACGAGGTGGCAGCATTTCTTCAGCAGGGGAGTGAGATCCCGGCTGTCTTCCCCACCCTGAACTGACTAGCGGCTGTGCCTGGGTCAGGGATGAGACCTGAATGAGGTCAGAGAGGTCAGGCCATCTGCCCAGGTCACACAGCAGAATCAAGGAGTCAGAATCTGAATCCCAGACCCTAGGACATGAAAATCCCCTCCGTCCCTAGGCTCTGGTGAGGACAGGGAATCCTTCACCAGGAAAGGGTGAGAGAGAGGGGAGAGAGCACCAGGCTTGCTCTGAGCAAGACCCAGATGGCGAGACAGGGACATGGCAGCCTGGGGTGTGGGGGCCTGCACTGCAGCTGACCGGCTCTGCCCACTTCTGCCTGTGGGCTGGAAAGGTCCTTGACTTCCACGCTCATCCGTAAGACGGGAGACTGGACTGGAGGATGAGTGATTCCTCCTAGAAACACTTGCCGATGCCATGGCTGTGCTCAGCACCTGCCAGGGACAGAGATCAGCCCGTGCATCCTGCTGGGTGAGGACAGGGCGATCTGTGCATTCTGCTGGGTGAGGTCAGGGTGGTCTGTGCTGCCTGCCAGCAGAGGAGGAGGCTGCACTTCTTCCTGGGAAAGGGCAGGTCAGGAGAGCTTCCTGGAGGAGGGGGCTGTGGTCTCCAACAAGCCTATGATTCTAGATACTGTCTGGGCTCTCAGGGGCTGAGGGGAGGCCCACCCACGACACAGCACAAGTTCCAGAGCACCCCACCCGCACACGTGCATGAGCACACACGCAGGGGGTAGAAAAGAGCTGAGGTAAGGCGAGGAGTAGAGGTGGGGGGAAAATTCAGGCATCAACAGGACGGAAAGGAAAAGCATCGACATCATGCCCCAGGGTGGGGTATCGTGGTCCTGGCACATCCACTCGCAGGGCTCAGGCAGTTCTCAGGTATCCACAAACCCCACACAACAAGCGATTGAGAACATGACACCCTGCACCCTTGAACCCACACAGGGCCCTACTCCTGAGGAGCCCAGATGTCTGTTCCTGATGAGAGTCCTGAGCACGGCTTGCTAGATGCACCCCCATACCTGGAGAGGCTGTGAGGCCAGGTAGGAGCCCAGGATCCAGCCCCCAGCCTCTACCTACCTGCTCCCCACCCCCGCTGCACATCCCTTGGGTGAGGTCATGCAGGCACACACCTCCCAGAGGGTCCCTGCGTCCCTCCCTTCTCCCGGCCCCAGATCCCTCCAGGGGGCCCACGCCCCCTCCCAGCCCTCAGGGCCACTTCCGGAGACTTGCTGTCCACATCACAGCTCTAGCTGGGAGGGAGGGGTCGAGAGTTTGCCATAGCCCAGAGAGACCGCCCCCTTCCTGGAAGGACCCGGAGACCTTGGATGGCCTCTCACCCTGCAAAGTCCTGGCACCTGCTCCCTCGGACCCACCAGCAGGGCGCCCCTGCTGCTGTACCCGACAGGAGAAAGATCTCGCCCCTGGTCCAGGCATGGTGACCCTCTGCTGCCTGGGGTCCCGGCCTGGAGGCCGTAGAGAGGCTCCCTGGTGTCCCCGTCCAGGGGAGAGGTTACCCTACCAGTTCCAGGTCACATGCTGCCCACTTTGGAGACGTTCTCGCGGGGGCCATAGGCGCCTAACCTACTGGAAGAAAGTTCCCGGGCCCTTGGGAAGCGACGGGTCACACTCCCCGGAGGTTGCAGGGTGGAGGGTGGAGGGTGGGGGCAGGGGACGGCCTTACCGGCGGGGTTCCGCTCAAACTCGCACCCCGGCCGGGCAGCGGCGAAGACCAGGACTGTGAGGAGCAGCAGCGGCGGCGGGGGCGGCATGGTGGGGCGGCGGGCCTTGGACGGCCGGCGCAGTGATGTGGCACTCGGGCCGCGCGGCCGGGGCTCTGCGCTTGCTGGGCTCCCGCCCCCGGCGCAGGGAGGGCGCCCCAAACGCAAATGCCGGAGTCGGGTTACAGTGGGCAGCGCCAGAAGCTAGAGGGAGGATGCCGCTGGGGGAGGAGGAGGGGCAGGACAGCAGATAAAGGCCCTGCCTGCCCTGGGTGGGGTGCCCCGCCCCCTCCAAAGGTCTCCCTGCCCCTCCTTGGGACTCAGTTTCCCCATCTACCACCTGAGCGCACTGTGGAGCTGATCCGCAGATTCCCTGCTGATCCTGCCTAAAACCCCTGGTCCCGGGCACAGTCTGCATCTGCAGGTGGAGGGGCTCTGGCTGCAGCCCTGACCCCAGCTGACCAGGGCCTGTCAGGTGAGGAAAGTGAAGGCATGTCCCCACCTGCTAACCCTTGTCCCCGGTGTGGATGCCGGGGAGGGGGCTTTGCTGGGCGGCTGGACCTTTAGGAGCCATGTGCCTCATGGATCCTTTACCAGCTATGCCAGTGCACCAGTACCAGGCCCCGGAGCCAGCTGCCACTCAGCCCTGAGACTTAGGACAAGCCCCTTTGCCCAGAGGCTGGTGTAATGGAGACAGTACTCACAGTGGCCCAAATCATCGCTGGCACCCAGCAGGTGCTGCTTCCTGCGGGTCATCTGCTTGAAGATGCCCATTTCAACACCCCCGGGGATCTGGGGCGTCTGGTGCTCAACGCTGCCCTGTCTGCCTGGACTTGGCTGGGTCCTTCCGGAAGCACCTCTGACTGCCCTGGCCGGCCCATGGGGCTGCCCTGCAGGACAAGCTTCTAGGAGAGAAGCCAGTTCGTGTCGTCAAAAGAGCACGGACTCACTGTTCACAGGATCTTGAGCCGGTGGCCTGGCCTCCTCCAGGCTGGGAGCTCTCCACTGAGAAACAGCACCGCGCTCACCTTGGGGCTCATGAGGATGGGGTGGGGGCAGCATGGCAGCCGGGAGGAGTCCCTCAGTGGTTGGAAGCCAGCTCCGCAGCTGGACATGATGCGTGCCAGCCGGCATCCTCAGCACTTGCTGCGCAGCGGGTGCTGGCGATAAAAGTGGGTCTGACGCCTCTCCTACCCACCCCACGGCTGGACCCTTGAGAGGGGTGCTGGGGCTGTGAGAGCCTGGAGAGGGAGGGTTGTGTCAGCCTCGGTCAGGTGGAAGGACTTGGCTAAGCAGAGGAGAAGGAAGTACTAAGAGAAGGCCCAGAAAGGATGCAGGCTCCCCAGGGAGGGGCCAGTAGACTAGAGCACCCAGCACTTTAGCCCAAGACCGTGTGGATAGGAGTGAGGAGCAGTGGGGACAGAGAACAGAAAGGGCCAGCAATGCCAGGCTTAGGAGCAGAGACCACAGGCTCTGGCAGGAGCACAACCTGCTCTTGGCTGCATTTCCAGGAGCTTGCTCTGCTTGGTGGAGGGTGGGTGAGAGGAGGGGCTGCTTCGCCAGGGACTAGGAAGGGTTCTGGAGGCTTGGCCGTGGATGGGTGTCCAGGTGAGGCAGGAGGAGGGTGAGGGTCAGCAAGCGCAGAGGGGATGGAGAGAGGGCTCCTGGCTCAGAACCCCTTCTGGCCCAGGTTTGCACCCCGTGTGAGCAGGAGGGAGGCTGGGGTGAATGAGATCATGGTCTCAAAAGGACAAGAAGGCAAGCTGAGTGAGAGGACTGTCACTCTGGGCTCCCATAGGGCCTCCCTCTGCCTCACCCATCATGGAATGCTGCAGCCCTCTGACAGATGGAATCAATAAAAAACTCCTGGTCCCCCAAATAAAATAAATGAGCAGTTATGTCCTTCAAGTTGCCTGCCAGCCTCACAGCCTCCATGGCTCTCTGCTTCCCGCCCACCCATGGGAAAGCCCCCCAAGCTTGTAGCTCCACCGTCAAAACAACAGGAGACGCCTCCCTCACTCGGCCGCACGCAGGGCGCAGGGCCTAGCCTGGAGGTCTTGGAAGCCCAGCAAGGGATTGCATGCAAGCCCAGGCATCTAGAAAGCTCTGCTCTCCTGGTAATTGAACGGTGGCTAATGCGAGGCAGAATTCCCCCCTTTCCATGGAAATGAGACACCCTCTGAATAAGATGTTTATTGATTCACAGCATTCGTGAGACCCAGCATCATTTTGCAACACATTTAAGTGCACATGAAAAGTATCTTTCAAATTACAAAAAAAAAAAAAAAAAAAGGCTCCATGCCTAAAGCAAGGGACAGCCCAGCATGGGAGCCACATGGGCTGACGGAGAAGGGCGGAGGGAATGCCTTAAGATGCCTGTTCCAGAACATCCCATGGAGCTTCCAAGGAAGGCGAAACATGACAGCAAGCAGTCCCCGTCTCTAATAAACAGCGTGCCTCCCTCTAACCGTGGTGCCTTCCAGCAGGGCAGGGTGCACGCGTTTCCTTGAGTGGCGCTAAAGCAGTGACAAAGCATTTTAGCCTGGCGGAGACGCAATAACACGGAGGGTAGGCCCCGCTGGCTGCCAGGCTCCTTGCACCTGGGGAGCTCCCAGGGACAGGAGAGGGCTCAGCCAAGGAGCTCACAGCCTGGGCTCTGGAGCTTTAGACAGCGGGGACCTACCTGCTTCTGCTGTGGGAGTGCCCTCCCTTGTGAGCACAGGGCACCGGGCTGCAGCAGGGTCTCGAGTTCACGTGCCCTCTGCGAACCAGGGCCTGACGCCCACCTGCCCCACCTCCTGCCTGGAACCCCTGGGTTCGATTGAACTGGCCAGGTCTGTGTTCTAATGTTTTTAACTGTTTAATGGTTAGTTGCTATTATTCCAAACAATAATTTGTTTTATTTGAATTACACTTCACGATTTACATTTTTAAATTTATCCTTTTGAGGAAGGCATTGGCAAGTCAGCAAATAACACCTGGTTTCGGCCGGGCGCGGTGGCTCATGCCTGTAAGCCCAGCACTTTGGGAGGCTGAGGTGGGCGGATCACTTAAGCTCAGGAATTCAAGACCAGCCTGGGCAACAAAGTGAGACCTCCATCTCTACAAAAAAAAAATACAAAAATTATCCAGGAATAGTGGCCCATGCCTGTGGTCCCAGCTACTCAGGAGGCTGAGGTGGGAGGATGGCTTGAGCATGGGAGGCGGAGGTTGCAGTGTGCTGAGACTGCACCACCGCACTCTAGCCTAGGCAACAGAGTCAGACCCTGTCTCAAAAAGTTGTTTTAAAGTACAATAATAACACCTGTTTTTTGGAAAAGACTCTGTGAAGCTGCCTCAGCTGGGTTCTCCACTGTTAATGCCAAAAGCAAGTGACAGCCACATGTGTCTTGGAAGAATTCAGCCTCTGGAAGGAAATAATTTGATGTCCACGCTCTCCCTGCATTGCTGGCCTTGGGTGTAGGGTGTCACGATACAGGCTCCACGCCTGCAAGAGCCCACGGGTGAAGCCCATCAGAGAGTCCCATGAGGCAGGGGCCTGAGGTCTTGCAGTCCACCCTACCTCTGCAGGGGATGGCCCTGGGCCTTGAAGAAAACAGCAATGACAGAAGCTGAAGAGAGAATCGTGTCCATTCATTCACTCGCTCACTCATTTATACACACACCTCTCCACTGGGGGCCCATGTGCACTGTGTACTACTCTTTCCCTGAGCTGTGAAATAGGACAGATGTGCACAAAAGTCCTCAGCACTGTCCCATGGGGACATTCAATGTCATTGATGGTGGGTGCCCCCACCGAGGAATGGCACCCTGTGATTACTAAACTGGGGGTGATGCACACGGCTACTCAGGGACACTCCACCTTCTCTTGGCTCCCCCAGCACTGCTGCTGGGGAACAAGGGCCCTCCCCATCCTGGGCCACCCTCTCTGGACACCTGGGCCCTGGCTACTACTTCAATCTCTTGACCATCTCAAGTCTAGGATCCAGAGGCCCAGAGGTGGCCTTCAGGGGCAGAAAGCAGAGGTCATGTGCTCTGATGATATCATCACCAGAAAAGGCTCTGAGCACACAGACTCCACATCCTCCCCAGTCAAGATGCCAAAGTCCTGGCAAACCACGGAAAAGGAGGCAGGAGACAGGCTCCACTGCTTGCCCACACAGGCAGTCACAGAGGACAGGCCTGGAGCTGGGGACCTCTAGGTTTCCAGAGATGGGCACGTCCCAGGGACCGCCTGTGCCTGCCGGGCCCTGACCACAGACTATCAGATGTGAGCTCTGGGAGCCCCCAACCAGACTCTGTCCCAGCATTTATCTCCCAAACCTGGGCAATGCTGAGAACAAATCAGAACAATGCTAATAACCAGGTGGGAGTAACAGGTGTCCACCGGGGCTGCAGAAGAGACTCTGAGCAAGCGTGACCACTTCACCCACATGAACAGCAGTCACTCATAGGACGCCCACGGGTACCACGTGCCACACAAGACGCTTCCCTACCCACCGTCTGCAAGCATCGCCACGACCCCAGAACAAGGGCGAGGAAGCTGCGGCTCAGAAAGTAAGAACCGCTGTCCCCGGCTGCCGAGCAGCCAGGTGGCCGAGCCTGGAGCTCTCCTCCCCTGCTCCTGCTGTCCACACCCACATCTGGCCCTCTCCTCTTCCTCCTGTACTTCAGCCTCAGCTCAAAGTCAAGCCGCCGGTGTCTGGGGGTTCCCCAGTGGCGTTTCTGTGGCAGGGCCAGTGCCCTTTCCACAGGGTTTCTTAGAAGGTGGGGCGGATGAGCCCTGCCAGGCCCTCAGTGTGTCTGCTGCAGGCAGGAATCATTCTCTGCGTCCAGGGAGCTGCTGTGGGTGGACGCCGGGTGTGGGGTTCTCTTCAGCACCTGCTGCACCATGCTGGCCAGGTCCAGGGAGCTGTTGTGGGTGGATGCCGGGCGCGGGGTTCTCTTCAGCAGCCGGCGCGCCATGCGGGCCAGGACTTGGCGGAACGACCGGCGGAGCAGAGAGTACGTGAACGGGTCGACCGCCGCCTTGCTGTAGGTCAGGCACTTGCTGAGGATGCCCCAGTGGGCGTTCACGGTGACGAAGGGCACGAGCTCCGCCAGCCTGTTGGGGAAGTGGAGCAGCTGACTCAGCCACAGTGACAGCACCCGCCACACACTCATGCTCCGGGACAAGGCTTCTGACCAGCGGCAGCACAGCCTGAGGTGGGGGCCACAGAGTCA